TTCCATCCAATTTTGCAAGGCGTTCACAAGCCTGAGCTGTGGAGGGGAGGAGCACACAGGGGGTGCAAATTTGCCTAACAGTTCAGCTTTTATGTAAATTCAAATTATGGATGTCTACTGATGTCTCTGGGCAGCTGACAGCTGAGGGGGCGGGGAGTCACATGTGCTGATCATCCACAAAGATGGGGAATGGGCTGGAAGCAAGGTGCTTCCGTTCCTCCTAAAATATGAGCAGGGATATAAGCTTATTTTCTTTACCTTCCTAGGGTTTTCTGAACATGTATTATACACAACTGAAACTGACTTCCGTAAAGGAATTTTGGGGGAAAAAAAAAAATAGCAATGAAATAGTTTCAAAACAGTAGGACATTTACAGTAATTAATACATTGCATATTGTTGTCTTCCTAGTAGTTATTCAGAGGACAAAATGCAGACATGGTATCTTGTCTAAACAATATTAGTACAAACTTTTATTCTCAGGCAAACTTTTCTGTACTCTGTAATAAACATTTTAGGCTTTTTTTTCTTTTTTTTTGTGGAACTGGAACTGGGGATTGAACTCAGGCCCTTGCACTTGCCAGGGAAGCGCTTATTCCACTGAGCCATCTCCCCGGCCCCTAGGCTTTTTAAGTAGTCTGTTATGACTACTCAGCTCTGCCACAGACATTATGAAAGCAACCACAGATAATACCTATAGGAGAAGCATGGCTGTGTTCCAATAAAACTTTATTTGTAAAATATGTACAAGAAAAAAAAATTTAAAAATTAAAAAACAAGTACAAGGAGGGCTGGCCAAATAGCTCAGTGGAATAAGTGCTTCATTGGCAAGTGCAAGGGCCTAAGTTCAATCCCTGGTTCCACAAAAAAAAAAAAAGCACCTGCTTAGGCAGAGTGCAGCAGCCAGGGGAACACAGTGACAGGGATTCCATCTGTGGCCTGCCATGCCGGCACTGCCTACGGGGTGCGCTGAGCAGTGATTGAGACTGGGCACGGAGGCTGAAAACAGGAGAATCACTGCAAGTCTAGTCTGCGTAGTGAGACCCTGTAGACCCTGTACTAAAAATACACACACACACACACACACACACACACACACACACAAAAGCACAAGGGGCTGGGGAGATAGCTCTGCAGTCTAAGTGCCTGCCTGGTAAGCGCAAGGACCCAGGTTCCATCCCTGGTACCACATGCTGTGCTGCTCCCCCTCTCCCCACCAGCCCAAGCCCAAGTGCTCCATGCTGGCCACTGAAGCCTATAATCCCAGCACTGGGGAGACTGAGGCAGGAGGATCACTACAGGTCTGAGCTGTATTGTGAGCCCCTGTACCAAATAAATAAATACACAAACAAATGAAAATACAAGGCTGAACATGGCCTACAAACTATATTTGCCAACTTCTGATTTTAAAAGGTTCTGGTGACGGTGCCCTAAGAATTTCTGGAAGAGGTGCCAAGGCAGCATTTGGCTTCCCAGGCAGCCAGCAAGCCTGAGTGGGGCTGGTCCCCTGGAGGAATAATTAGCACCGCTTGATTAAACATTATCTTCACGGAGCTTGCCTAGCATGCCCAAGGTCCCGAGTTTGATCTCCAGCACTGCAAAAACAAAACAAAACAAAACCCCTATTATCTTTATCCTAGGGATATGGAGACTGAGATACTAAGCAGGACAGGTAAGACTGGATCCCAGAAAAAATGTCACCTCCTATTTTGTCCATAATCAGCGGTCCTAGAGAACACCAAAGTGAGCAGCATCTACCAACCTAAGACACAAAAGAAAATGTAATTTAGATCCGAATTCTTTTTTTTTTTTTTTTTGGTGGAACCGGGGATTGAACTCAAGGCCCTTGCACTTGCTAGGCAAGCGTTTATTCTACTGAGCCATCTCCCTGGCCCAAGAAAATGTAATTTAAGGGGTAACTGCAACAGGAAATTTATCCTGGGTTTCTATTCTCCTAAGTGGCTCTGAGCTTTCTTTTCTTTTCTCTTTTGGCCATACCAGGGATCAAACTCAGGCATGCACTTATTCTGCAGAGCTACATCCCCGGCCCAGCAGCTCTGAGCCTTCTTAGCGTTGGCTCCCCTTTCTCTCTCTTCTCTGGCCCAGGTTCATAAAAATGAAGCCATTCCTCACTCTTACGGTGACATCTATTCACCCTGGTGGATGAGCGGCAGCAGAAGGTAAATCCTGCTCTTTACACCACAGCTCTCTTCATGAAGTCTGGGATATCTTGTGGACAGCACAGTAGGTCTGTGGTGCGGAGATAACTGTGCAGCCCTGAGTGTTACGTCATCTGGGGATGGGAAACACCAGCAGTGACGACTCGAAATTGTTCCTGAAACCAAGTCGCAGCTCACATTCCTCTTTAAACAGCTGGGTTCCAGAGCCCTGTTTAGAAAGCTCATTTTAAAAGATGAGGGAATAGAAAACGCAAGACGAGGCCTTGAAATTCTGAAACCTGCAGTACTGGTTTTAGACCATCTGGGTTTGCTCTTTGAAGCCTGAAATGGCAATGAGTTCTGGCCCACAGTGCTCTTGCCCTGGCTCATGGAGGGAGGGAAGGACACTGTAAGCAGCGTCCAAAGGCTGCCAGGCTCTGTCCTAAGCACTGTACTAGCTCTTTGGTTCTTACGATGCGCAACAGTATCTGCACCATCCACAGATGAGGAAACTGAGGCCCACGGAAGTGCAATGACTTCCTAAACTCAGCAAGCAAGTCAATGCAGAACCTGGACTCAAAACTCCCCAACACCATGGCCTAGGGCTTATGACAGCAAGGGGTTGCCCCCTATCACCTAAGCCCTGCTGGTCTAGAGGAACTCACCTCTGCTGCCTCCCAAGAGCCCAGAATGGAAACCATCTAAATACACATGAAAGTTAAAGTCAACACGCCGAAGACCTGATGTACACCGCACTCCCAAACCAAAGGCCGGGTACCCTCCTCTAATGCTTGGACACAACAAAATACACAGGCCCTCATGACTCTTTTCTTTCCTTTTTTTTTTTAACCAGGGATTGAACTCAGGCCCTTGCGCTTGCCAGGGAAGCGCTTATTCCACTGAGCCATCTCCCCGGCCCCCTCTTTCCTTTTAATCTTACCTTGTTTAAGATCTACAGATAATCCTACCACCCACTAGGAAATGCCTTATTAATACTGCTGGGATATTAATAGGGGTAGAAAGGATTAATCAGTGCAAAACATGAGTTCCACTCATTTAGTCCTCATTTTAGTCATTTAGCGGACCTCCAGCTCCCTGTTCAGGCCACTATCTTTGGGCCACTACATCTAACAAAGAGCTAAGCATCCCAACCTTCTTTCTTCGCTTTGCACAGGGTCCACCATCGTTTGTCCTTTCACTACCAGCTGTATGGGAGGCACAAAGGAACTCCTCATAAAATGTAATTACTAATTAATTCCCAGCTACTACACAGCGAGGCTTTCTTTTGACTTCTACTAAATGTGACTCGGGCTCTGGCGCTTGTTGTTGAACTTCTCTTGGTTTCAAGGAAGCCCAAACAAAACCAACAGGTTTGTAGTCTTGCGGTTTCCCTCACAGCTCAGGATATGCTGCAGTTATGGCATTGCCTCCTTTTACAGCACCGGATTCTACACATATTTTTACTCCTTGTTCACCATCTTGCTACCACATTTGACCAAGTGTCTGTGCTCCAATGTGAGTGACACTAGCACACACATGGGGGTCCAGAAGCCAGGGGCTTTCTAGCTCAGAGACCTGATTCATCCCACTGCTAGCAAGGAAGGCACGGTAACAGCTACACGTCCTGCCCTGCGACTGAGCTTAGCAACCAGCACAAGCTCCAGACATTCTGGTTTGGTGAACGTCATTAACCGTTACAAGGGCAGGGACCATGACTTTTGTACACTTAGTACAGACTTGGGCTCTGGAAGTGTGCAGTGATCTCCCTACATCTGGTGTGAATCAAACGCAAGCTTCACTCTCAACTTATTGCCAACCTCCTCGTGCAAGTAGGTTCCTTTCTGGGCTTGAGGGCCTGCGTTTGCGGGTCTCGGGAGGGTTTTGAGTGAGAACACAAGGTTAACTTGCTCCTCCCTAGCGTTCCCACACCCACAACAAGCTGCTATTAAGGCACGTCCGAAGACCATTCGGAAAGTGGGGTGTTTGTCACACTGTCCTTGATTGTAGCCCTCACCCCCACTGCCACATTGTCTGGCAATGCTTAAAACAAAACAACCTGGGCCCTGGGGGAGCAGGGGGTGAGCTGCCCAGACCCTATCCACATGTATACACAGCATGGCTGGAATGAGACAGCCATATTAAGCAGATCGGTGATCTGCGAACTTAGAACTTCTGGGCCGCTGCGAGAGGAACGCAGGCAATCGGGAGCTGAGCGTCTGCGCCGCACCGCAGGAAAAGCCGTTAAACTAACTTACTCCAGAGAGCGCATATCGGCTCCGGGAGGTGGCAGCAAGGAAAGCGCACGTGAAGTGCGGAAAGGAGCTCCAGTGCTGCAGAGAGGGATGCCGGGGCCGAACCAGAGCTGGAGAAGTAACACATGGCTCCCCGGGCTCGCCTCCATGCCCCTCCCCCTCCCCCCGTGCAGGCGCCCAGAGCCCACCGGCCGCTCACGCCCCACACAGCCTCGGCACAGGGCGCCCCCATCCCACACCACTCCTTTCCTGCACCTCGCTCCCACCCCCTCCGTCGTTCACCCACCCTCCCACGACACCCTTTTCCCACTTATCCGTTACGCCCCCAAAGCCAGTCTCCATCTGCCAGGTCTCCCATAGCTCACCTCCCGGTTCCCCAACTCCCTGCAGAGTACCGGGGTTGCGCCCCACGTTCACAAGTCTTCGTCCTCCCTCCATCCGCCCTCTCTTCTTCCGTGCACACTCTGCACGCCCCGCTCTAGTCCTTGCACCCATCCACTGCCCCTGCACACCTTTCCCAGTACCCTCCCCCCGCTGCGTGCCCCTCCCCCAACGCTCCTCCCCCAGCACCCCCCTCCGGGTCAAGCTCACCTGCGCGGCCACCCCCGTCCCGGCGCTGAGACGGCTGCTGCAGCTGGAATGGGACCGTAGCCCTGAGAGGCTGCAGCCCAGCCCGGGGGGAGCCGGAAGGCGCTGGTGGAGAGCAGCCCCGCCGGAGCCCCCCGGCCCCTCCACGACCCGGACCCCAGGCACCTCCGCCTCTACCGCCCGTTGCGGCCCCCGCCATCGCCCGCCCGGACACCAGCCCTCTTCAGCCCCAGGACGAGCCCCACACAGTCCCCCAACCCCCGCTGTCGCTGCTTATCTGTCCTACGGGGCGGGGACCGGCCCCCTGAGTCCAGAACTTTAATTGGGCTACAGAGTTCTAGACACAGCCCCCTCAACCAATCCTCGGCGGACTCTTCCTTTCCCGAGGATGATTGGTAAATATGCCTAGCGATCCAAACCAAGACCCCACCTCCACCCCGCCCCCGCCGGCTGGCCGGCGTCCGAGACTCTGCTGATTGGGCGGTCCCGAAAGGGCTAGTTCTCCAGCGCCACCAATGAGAATTCACAGAAAAGGGGAGCGTCACACCCAGTCCCAGGTAGTATGCAAATACAATGTCACGTGACGTTGGGCTGCGAGGGGGCGAGGTCCGGTGTAGCTTGGAATCAAACACTCGAGAACTCTTTGTGGAGGGTGGAGTGTCAAACTTCAAGTTGTTGAGCCCCAGTAGTATGGAGAGAGTGATAACTTCAAAAGACATTACATTTAGTTTAACTTAACGTTAGTTTTAAATCCTCGTAGAGGATTGCTTGCAAGCTCCAAATTAAGATTCCACAGAGTACTGTAAAGTTTGCATATAATTTGCATGAGATTTGTATTATATGGATGCACTTAATGGCTACCCTGCTTCATGTGACGTCCACGTTTGTCTTCCACATTTCCAGCTTCCTACTGGGGGTTGGCCCAATCTTAAGAAAACAGTTGTTGGCGTGCAAATGAGGTTGGGACACCAAAAGGGAGCTGGGAATCGACAATTCCAAGTCCACCTTGACAGAATAGAAGCACCAGAGTGACAGAGAAACTTAACCAAGTTTGCAAAGGTACTCCATTAACAAATCCTGGTCTTCCCAGTTCAGGGCTCTCTGACCTACAAGTCAAAACCGAGACTGGATGGTCCCAGAAGGGAATGTATGCAATTTCGACAGTCACACGCTGGAATACATAAAGGCATTTGGGGAAGAAAACCACGCTTAAAGTAACATGAAAAATTACTACTCGTCAAAAGAAAACACATTGCTCTTGTAGTCGTTGACCATTTGTTCTATATATGGAAAAAGCAAGTCAGCCAATCCTAGATTGTCTGCGATAAGGGACCATCCAAATAATTGGATAATTCCCTCTAGATTTATATTTAGCTATGAATTCTAGTTCTGATCTTGCTACAGATTTATCTTGCTATTTCTGTTTTTGCCCAGTTTAATGGTAAAAAGAAGGTATTCCCTGAAGCCACTCTAGCCAATCAAAGTGAAGAAAGGTGCAGGAGAGGGCACGCTGGGATTAAATATGGGAAGTAGATACTGGAAGGGCAGATCCCAGGGTCAGCTGGGTATTAGATCAGCCCACTGCGCAGGACAGGCAAGGGAATGGCACAGTCTGCTGACAGGCTTTCTTTGCAAAGACGG